GGGGGGGAGGCATCTGGTGCCAGCCGCCGGCCAGGCTTTCTGCTCGCTTCCCTGGTGGGTAGTTCACGTCGGTGCAGCGCTTCCTGCCACGTGTCAGGCCAGCGGCCTGCCGGGGGCCCTGCAAGAAGGAGACGTGCCTGGGAGTGGACCCGGCCTCCCGAACCCCACTTCCCTCCCCTTACTCCCTTGGAACCCCCTCCCCACATGGACACCCGCGATGCACTGGGATCCCTGAGGAGTCACGAGTCCTATCAGAGTCTGTGGGGAAACGGGGCCTTTGAGACACCCCCGGGCCAGGAGCCAGTCAGCTGCCTCTCGTGGACTCCGTGTCTCTTCCCAAACCAACATGTAATCTTTATTTATTTATTAAAATTTTTTTTTTAATCTTTTATTTTTCAATTGCAGTTGACATTCCGTTCTATTTTGCATCAGTTTCAGGTGCACAGCATAGTGGTTAGAGAGTCATATGCCTTACAAAGCGCTCCCCTCGATTTTTCCAGCACCCACCTGACGCCATGCACAGTCATGACAATGTGGTTGACTGTGTGGCCCCTGTGCTGCACTTATGTTCCTCTGACTGTTTGGTAACCGCGAGTCTGCGCCTCTCCATCCTTCACCTTCTCACCCAGCTTCCCAAGCCCTCTCCCTCTGGCAGCCGTCAGCCTGTCCTCTGTGTCTGAGCCTGTTTCTGTTCCGTTCGCTTATGTTGTTCTTTAGATTCCACGTGAGTGAGAGCATATAGTGCTTGTCTTTCTCTGATTTCTTCCACCGAGCGTAATGCCCTCTAGGTCCATCCGCCACGGTTTAAACTTTCAAATGTGGGTGCACTGGCCTGTGCAAGGGCCCTGTGCTGGCTCAGCCCCGGCGATGCTTGAAGCAAAAGGTAAAGCGGGACCACAGCGCGGTGGCCGCAAGCACAGCCGTGTCACACGGACTTGGAGGAAAAGAAGTTTAAAATGCCCCCCTTGACAGAGCAGCACATTGCTGATCGGCCTTAGAGAGAGGGCTTTGTTTCTTTTCCCCCCGTGTTGGTTTGGTTTTGGCTTTGGCTTAAGAAATAAAAGAATGGCCCTGACTGGTGGGTTCAGTGGTTAGAGCATCGGCCTCTGCACCGAAAAGGTCGTGGGTTCAGTTTCCAGTCAAGGGCTCATACCTGGGTTGCAAGTTTGATCCCCAACCCCACTCAGGGCGCAGGCAGGAGGCAACCAGTCGCTGTGTCTCTCTCACATCAATGTTTCTCTCTCTCTCTCTCTCTCTCTCTCCTTCNTCATACCTGGGTTGCAAGTTTGATCCCCAACCCCACTCAGGGCGCAGGCAGGAGGCAACCAGTCACTGTGTCTCTCTCACATCAATGTTTCTCTCTCTCTCTCTCCTTTTCTCCCTCTTTCTTCCACTCTTTCTAAAAATCAATGGGAAAAAAATTGTCAGGTGAGAATTAAGGGAAGGCAGGCAGGCAGGCAGGCAGGCAGGCAGGCAGAAAGAAAAAGAAAGAAAGAAGAAAGAAAGAAAGAAAGAAAGAAAGAAAGAAAGAAAGAAAGAAAGAAAGAAAGAAAGAAAGAGAAAGATTAAAAATCCTTGAAGAAGTCGGAGGCGTTTCAGAGCAGACGCGATGCCCTGGATCGTGCTATTCAGTCCTCTGGCCACCCCACGTTAGGGACACAGGTAAACAAGCTACGTCTCAGAGGAATATTACAGAGCCATTAAAAACTGGATTCCAGCAATTCTCAGGACAGGAGACAAGGCCACCGTGTAATATTAAATGAACGCTGTGTCCCGCGATGCCAGTTTTGCAGGCACGTGTGCAGAGAAAGGAGATTAGAAGGGCCCGTCGCGCAGTGAGCCTCGTTGCTGTGACGGGGGCGCTCGNTAGAGGGGCCCGTCGCGCAGTGAGCCTCGTTGCTGTGATGGGGGCGCTCATGAAGGATTTTAATTTTCTCTTGCATTTGCCTAATCGTGTACAATGAGCGTATATCACTTTTTTAATCAGAAAAGTACCTAATACAAATAATTTCAGCTTTATTCGTTTTCTGTTATGACAGTAAGGCTCATTACAGGATATTGGGAAAACGGGAACCAGTAGAAAGGGGAAAACAGCCTGGCCCTTCATTGCGGAAAAGTCAACCCCCTCGTTCTGGTGTATTTCCTTCCGGCCTTTTCCTGTTCAAACATTTTTAATTGTGAGCTTTGCTCTCCCCCCACCCCCCACCATAGTTGCTCTCATTCTGTAAATACATCTTTAAATGTATGTAAGGAAGTCGGGCCTCCATTCCAGCGATAGTAATAATTCTATCGTAGTGGGCATTTGCTGGTCACTCGCGATGTGTGGGGCGCAATCCTGAGGTTTATCACCATGTTCTCCTCTCTTCGGCGGGTCGATTATTGTCTCCACTCTAGGGGCGAAGACATTGCCACGTGAAGGGATCCTCTTGCATCCCGAGTGACCCGGACGTGGAGTCTGTGTTGCTAGGACCCTGTACGTGTTGCTAGGACCCTGGGGCTTGACCATTGACAGACACCCCCTCCACCTCAGTTCCTGATCAGGAAAATGTTTGTGTTTTGAAATGGAAACTGTAATAAAGGACCCCAAAATCCACGTGGGAGAGGGGGCAGGATTCCATCCCCTCCCAGCCACCCCCAAACAGGACACCTTCCCCCGGGCACCGTTTGGGTCCAGCCGCCACTAGGAGGTGCTGGTACCATGAGTCTTGTTTCTGGTGGGCAGGATGGCAGGGCCGTGTGTCCCCTCTGGGCCGGAGAAGCAGGTATGGTCCTACCGGTGCCTGATTTCCCTCACAGGTCGGCGCCAACAGGCTCCTCCAGGGCATCCCTGCCCCACCCCACCCCCCACACACAGGAAATTGGCACCCTCCACTTACTTTGCCACCACGATAGGCTATTTGCAATGGCATCAAGTCCAACTGCACGACTAATACAAATTAGAAAGAACACACACAGTTGATTCAAAGACATAAGATTTGGTCTGCGTAACGCCAATGTGTCCTAGAAACAGAGTCCTGGGCTTTTAGAACGTTGAGCTGAAAGAACATCCAGTCCATCCTTTCCTTTTACACATGAGGACCTGGAGGTCCATAGAGGGCAAGTGACTTGCACAAGGTCATGGTGATCAGGAGTAGAGTCAGGCGGCCAGGCCCTGTCCCCCAGCGTTCTCCCCACACCACACGGTCTCTTTCTACGGCAACCCTTGGGATGTGACTGTATTTCCAGACATTTATCTTTCTGCTTTTGTCATCAGTGTTTGGCTTGTTAAACCTAGTGACCAGCCTGGGTTGGGGAGTCAGAGGCGGCCGCATTCCTGAGAACACGCTTGGTCGGGGCTGCCTCTCTGTCTGTGTCACCCGAGGCGGAGGGTGAGGCACCTGCATGAAGACCTAGGAAGGTGCTGAGACCCCTGCTCAAATGACAGGATATAGCTCTCTGTCCGGCACCAGCCCTGCCTGTCTTCACTGCCCCCCCCAACAGTGGACGCTCTGGTCTGCAGACAACAGCCTGATCGCTAGCCAGGGTGCCTGGGGTGCTGTTCCTACTTCATTCCTCCTTGTTTGGCCACAGATTCATCTTGCTGGGTGACACTGAGCAAATTGTCGCTCTCCCCCCCACCCACAGTTGAGGGCAGGCTAGATGCCAGCAGAGTCCAGTGACTCTGGGGCACAGCCATGCCTGGAGCCCAGCTGTGGGTTTGGAAGCAGGGTCCCCTCCCTGGTCGACCCCAGCCATTGCTGGGGCCTGGCGTTGCTCCCACTTTGCAGAAGTAGCAAACGTCAGTGGCTGAGGGACTAGCTTGGATCACGACGCTGGGAGTGACCGCGCCTTGCTCAGTGGCTGTCATCCTGACTTCAGCTCCCCCCATTTGTGTTTGTGGGAAGGGAAGGAGACTGGCGGGACCCCGGCTCTTACTCTCACATAGTAGGACCGCTGCAGGAGAGGTGAGCGTCCGGTAGGCACCGACTAATACAGGTTTCTCTTTCCCAACAGGGGCACCCTGGCAAAGAAGGCCCTCCAGGAGAGAAGGGAACCCAGGTGGGTACAGCCGCATTGGCCCCTCCAGCGTCTCCTGCAGGACAGGCCTGGGGGCTGTAGGCCGGCTCTGCCCTGGGACACTCAGAAGGGATATGCGGAGGCAGCTGTGCCCTTTCCCTGCCTGCTATGCCGTGGGGACACTCCCCCGAGGAGCCCGTCCTCATGTCCCATCCAGGTCTCTGGGCTCTGCCCCACCCTCAGTTTCTGCACAAGGGGGTGTGGGTGCAGCCTGACCTTGACCAGGCAGAAACTGGGCGACCATGCAGGTTCCAGGCCAAGGCTCCTCCTGACGCATCAACATTGTGTGTTTGGGGCCTAAGACGTCGGGGGGAAAGCCGTTGGATTTTCACGGCGTCCTGAGCACCCAGGAACCTGCCCACTGCACTGTTTGTGGCGAAAGTCCACGTCTGCCTCCTTTCCTACTCCCGGCCTCCCCAGGCCCCCACCTGCTCCAGGGAGCTGTGGACAGTCATCAGTAAGGCCCTTTGGCTGTTAAAGGACATCCCTTCCTTGGGCAACCACCTCTGTCCCTTTCTTTCAGCCAGAAGTTCTTCATTTTGCTCCAAGGTCCCTTGGCTGGGAGAGCATTTCTTTAATGTCACCTCAGCCCTTCCAAATCTCACCACTTCCCCGAGCCTGGCCAAGGTGTTCCCACTCCCGAAGAGACACGACTGGTGCTCCTGCCTTTACCGTGGGACTGGGTGCGAGGGCTGTGGAAATTGGCCTTGTGTCCACTTCGGCGGGCCTCTTCCTGGGGTCTGCCCTGGGATGTCCGCTCCGCTCACGGCGAGATGTGGATTTGCTGGTGGAAGGGATGCTTGCCCGGGGTGGACTGGGCATAACCGGACCCCGCCCCCTGAGATGGAGCTAATGGTCTTTCCCGTTCGGTTTCAGGGTCCACCTGGCCCCCAGGGCCCAATCGGCTATCCTGGCCCTCGAGGAGTCAAGGTGAGGTTCTTGCCGCTGCAGGTCCTCCTGGAGGCCGGGGTTGGGACCGTGGGCACGGGGTGTCGGGTTTTCAGGAATTCCTCCTTGGTTTAACTTCTTGCTGCCCAAGCTGGAGCTGGTCCTCCCAGTCTTCGTGGGACATTGGGGCCCACCCAGTCCGTGGGCCTGAGCAGGGCAGGGAGAGAGCAGCTGGAGCCAGGAAGGGCAGATTTGGAGCCGGGGACAATCCCCAGTGTGTTTATGACAACACGGATGGCAGGATGGTGCCTCACGTGGCTTCTGTTGTCACCATTTGTCAAGCTTCCCACTGCCCTCTCAAGTCCCTTGTAGACGGTGACTTTAGCCAAAGCCCAGAGCCCTGCATTCTTTCCAGGGGAGCATTTCGTCTAGGCCCTTCACACAATCAGAGTGAGAGAGTCTGGCCCCCCAGTCACATCTGGGCAGGCCACGGGTGGGGAGATGAGTCCGTGAGAGATGTCCATTTACTCACGGTTGTGTTTCTGCTGCTGCAAGGCTCCTGCAAATCTTGTTACTTGGGCACAACGCTCCAGAGCAATTTTCCGAACACAGATCCTGTGGGTCCAGAGGCACTAACTGTGTTTGCTTTGAGCCGTGGAGTGTAATCTTCAGTTAGGCCGCTCTCGGGATGCGCCGGGCACGTGCGGCCCGAGAGGCAGGTGCGTGGGAAAGTGCGCAGGGAAGGCTCCTCCTCCCAGGACGGGCGTGTTGCCTGGTCTCCAAGCTCTGGGTGACTCAGCAGCTTTGAGAAAGCCGGTGGGGAATCTTTCCTTCAAAATGACTCAACTTGATGTGAAGGAAAATATATAAAGATGTCTGTTTTAAAAATGGTCTAGCGTGAGGGATTTGCACACCCCTCTGTTCCTGTGCTCCTGCTGCGAAGTTCAGGCGCTTTGTATTTTTGTTGTGTTTGGCTGCCCTTTGGGGCAGAGGGTAGAGGACCCCAGACTTCAGTTTTCAGTGACTTGCCCCAAATGACCCTAAAATCGATGCCACCATCAGGACCCAAGCCAGGACTTGCTTATTCTAAGTCAGTGCCCATCCTGGACCCCTAGTGGCCCGACTTCATTTTCCCAGGAACCGGGACGGTTCGAGCTCACGAGCCGCTGCAGAGACTCCCCAGCAGGAGCCTCAGGTGGCCAGGCTTCTCTCTGCAGCGGGCTTCGCCACACACCTAGAGAGTGCTGCAAGGGGGATGGTTTAGCAGGAATGCTGATTATATGAGCTCCGTGCATGTGTATTTTACAAATTCTTATTGCAGAGCAGCCGCCTCTGCCAGGTCCCCTACATGGCTAATTGCAAAAAGCTGCTTCTGCCAACTGAGAGGTGTTTGCTTTATGTATATGAAGAATGCTCTTATCTATCTGATTAAAATTCATTCGCGACATGAGCAATCCGATTAGACTTAGAAGCGGGGAGTGGAGTGGAAGGAAAGGGAGGATTGGATGCCGTTTTCATTGGAGAAATAGGTTCTCTTCCTCCAGTGCATTTGACATGCCGTGAGCAGCTGGCCTGGAAGGGAGGTGACACAGGCAGCTGGCATGGTGGCCNGGGAGTGGAGTGGAAGGAAAGGGAGGATTGGATGCCGTTTTCATTGGAGAAATAGGTTCTCTTCCTCCAGTGCATTTGACATGCTGTGAGCAGCTGGCCTGGAAGGGAGGTGACACAGGCGGCTGGTGTGGTGGCCAAGCTTTAGCCAAAAGACACCCACAGCTTTTGGTTAGGGAGGGCTAGCTGTCCCCCGGGGAGCCCTGCCTTCTTCCTGAGAAAGGGGTCCCCTCCTGCCCTGTGATGTCACTGACCTTAAACATCCTCCCCCTGCCCTCTGTCTTGTCCCTGTCCGTCTTAGGGCTTGAGTATCTGCAGAGTCAAAGCCACTCCCCACTGAGCCCACAGTTGCTGGGTGGGCTGGCGGGAGACCCCAAGTGCGCATTCACTCAAGACCCCGGGCAGAGCCCTGTCCCTCCTGGGCTCTCACACCCACTCACTGGTGCTGGATCCTTTGTTCTCCTTGCCCTAGCGCTGGCCACTGGGGCCATCATGGATGTGCCGGTCCAGGGGTACTCAACCTCGGGGACACCTGTAGATACTTTCGCGGGCTACTGTCATCAATAAGTAGAGGCCACGCTGCTCAATACCCAGCAGTGCTCAGGGTGGTCCCACTACAGGAATGATCTGGCCCCAGATGTCTGCAGTGCGGGGGCCAAGAAACCCAGACTAATCGGTCCCATTGCCCTGGCCTCCGACTTGGGTCATAAAATGGCAGAACTTTAGCTCTGGCAAGGTCCTAGCGATTCTCTGTCCTTCCTTCTTGTTTTCAGAAGGGCATGGGCAGGGAAGCCGACCTGACAAGAAGGAAGGGAGCTGGTGCCGGACCCCCTGTGGCATCAGGGTTTCAGGGTAGCTGTGTCTCTCCTCTGTCCCAAGCTTCTCAATGCCAGGGTTGAACGTGCCCAGGGCACATGGTGGTCACAGTGACTCCAAGTGGAGGCCAGGCCCAGCTCAGTGTCTGTCTCTGTCTGTGTCCATCCCTCAGTTTCTCCAGTTTTTCTCAGCCCCTCCCCTCGGGAAAAAGGCTCAGAACTGCACAGTCTGCTCCAAGTTCTTGTCACAGGAGGGCAGCTGGCAGCCCGAGGGTCCCGGGAGGTGGCCCTGCCATCCTGGCTACAGCCTTAGCTAAAACAGAATCAGGAGGCCAGGCCTCTCTCTGGGCCCCGTGTCCCATGGGCAGGAGGCCTGAGAAAGCCTCTGGCAGGTGGTGGTCAGTGTCTGCCCCACTGGGGGGATCAGAGGGGGAGGCTGCTTAACTGCACTCCAGGGGCTGAGTCGCCTGGGTCCAGGTGAGGTGCTGGCACTGTGAGTCACAGGAAGGTCACATGGGATGGAGACTGTGGTTGAGGTGGCTGAGCTCAGCTGGCCTCGGTATTTGGGGCTTAGACTCATATCTTGCAAGGGCTCAGGTTTGTGAATGCGCATTTTCCCCCTGTTTGTGTAGGGGGCAGATGGCATCCGTGGTCTGAAGGGCACAAAGGGCGAGAAGGTGAGTGTCCCTTCCTTCCCCCAGCAGCGGCCCTGGCCAGCCTGCAGCTGGACTCCTTTGGTGTCATCTCTCCAACACCAGCTGACATTTGTGAATCCCCGAATGTGTGCAGCACCCTTATAAAGTGCAGGCCTGCGTCCCCGGGAACCTCGGGCCACCTGCCGATCCTCGGCCCAGCCCTGCAGGCAGGACCCAGCTTCCCCAAGCAAGCCCTCTCAGCCGACGCCCATTCCTTTCGGAGAGTAGGTGGCAGGCACGAGCTGTCCTTTTCTCTTGGGGATGTTTTCCATCCAGCCCCTACCTCAAATGCTCACCACCACTGTTCCCGGCCCTGCAGCAGACAGGATACTCACTCTGAGAAACGGGGCCCACGGGTCAGGCATGGAGCTGCTTGGCGCCCAGTGGGGCCGAGCCCTCTGCAGGGCTGAGCCAGCCGGAGCCGGAGCGCTTCATGTCTGTGAATGCAAAGCGTTAACGGCCACATGTCACAGGGGCCGGGCCCTCGAATTCTCCCCCGCAGCATGGCCAGCTCTGTGGCCGGGCCCAGAGCCTCTGGGTTGGGGGACGTGTGTTGCGTGTGGTGTGAGAGAGCCGTCAGGGAGGTGGATTCCCCCACCTAGACCAAGGCCCTCTCTCGTCCTGTCCAGGGGGAAGACGGCTTCCCGGGGTTTAAAGGAGACATGGGCATCAAGGGCGACCGGGTGAGTATTCTGGGCAGGAGGGGGCTGGGCGCCAGGCCCTGCGGGAAAGTCTGCAGGAGGAGCTGGACTGTTTGGGGCCACAGGGCAGCTTCTCAGAACAGACGTGACAGGTGACCTCTGTGGAGATTCCTGGTCCGTAGGCAGGGACAGCTGGGAGCCCAGAGGCCTGGCTCTCTCTGTCTCCTCCTCAGCTTCCAGTTCTCACCTGGTATTAACCCCCTGGGGACCCCTGGGATCAGCTTGTGGTCACCTGCCGCTCTGCCCTGTGTCTTGACCTTGCACAGGTGGTCAGTGGGGACCAGTGTTCTGGGTTGTAGGGTAGTTCATTTGACTCCAGCGAGGGGCCTGCGGGAGAGGAAGTGGGCTGCAGAAACGACCCCATCCAACCAGGGAGTGCAGCAGCCCGCCCGGGGCCACAGGCCGGTCGCCCGCAGGGCAGCCGCCTGACAAGGGTCTGGGGGCCCCTGCCTGGCCCTCGAAGCATCATGGCCCCAAACATCTCTTTAGTTGTGTTTTAGGGCCCCACGCAGTCCCTGTGTTCTGTGACCTCGTGTGGGGCTCAGAAGAACTGGCAGCACCTAGTTGTTTCTAGTGAATAACCCGTCTCAGGCTCAGAGGATGCCAGTGGGTGCTGGAGGGTGGGGTGCCCCGCAGACAGCCACTGGCTGGGTCTCCACATGACAGAGGACAGGGTGATATTCCAAGTGACCCGGAGGAGGTTTTGGTGCCTCGGCCAGCTGCCTGCTGCCTGCAGTGTGAGCGCTTTGAAGTTTCCCTTTCAACTCAGGAGTGAGGCAGGAGGGAAGCGGGGCCTCCCCATCCAGGTGGCACAGCGGTGGCAGCAGCTGCGCACACACCTGGCCTGTGGGTGGCCGTGATGACCCCCCATGTACACAGAGCGGGCCTGCAGGCATCCTCTCCAACACACCAGAGCCAGAGAGCCGTGCACCTGGCCCTGGGTCCCGAACCTGAAAGGCAGAGAACATCTGTGTCTCCCTCGCAGGAGGGGAGACAAGGGAGGAATTCATTTCACAATCATGTCCCAGTTGTGAAGCTGCTGAGGACAGTTGTTCCAGAGCTTTCTCTGTGGTGACAGGACCCTGAATCCATCTAAGGAGCCTCCCTCGGTTTGGCTGGTGAAAGTCCCTTTCACCCCCATCTCTCTGTGACAATTCAACACTCGTATTTGGGGTCCGTATGAGGAGGGTTACATTTCCAAAAGCCTGCCGCTCCGTGAGCTGACCTCCTGTTGGGACAGATGGGGACAGGACCCAGGAGCTGGGACACTTCCTCAGCCAGGGACAAGTGTCATCAGGCTGATTCTCTCGGCCCTGGGCATCTCCTGGGTGCTCAGTAAACACAGGACAGGTTTTGTTGAACAAGGAAAGGAAAGGGAGGCTTTTTAGGGGCAGGGCGTTCTTGACCCACAGACAGATCAGAGCTTAATCTTTCTCATCCGGTCGATGCACAGCTGTTCACAGCTGGTCCTGGAAGTAGGTGACCCGAGAAGGAGTCGCCAGCAGGCACCGAGGTCGGGGTGGGCACTCGGGCTGGGCCAGGGCTCTGCTGTGGACTGTGCAGGCCCAAGGCCGTCTTCCTTGTCTGGGCCCCGGACCCCCATCTGTAACTTAGGGCAGTTGGATGAGGCCCCTTTGTCTCTTGGAGACACCCTGTGGGTCTCCGGTGTGGCAGTTAATGCCCAGGGAACTGCCCGGCCTGGGGGCCACGGTCCATTGTGACACCTCCTGGGGTTTCAGGAAGAGAAAGCGGCCCCCCTCCATGGGCTATTCTGCTGGGAGTGGGAGTGTGTGGCCTGGAGCAGTAGCCACCCGCTCTGCAGAGGGAGGGCCTCAGCTGAGCCCTGTACTTGCTGCGTGAGGCTCTGGCCTGTCACCCACTAGAGGAGGCTTCATGTCTTGAGGGAGCCCGTGGGCCGAGCCAACCAAGTGGCTCCTACAGGAGGCCTGGGATCCAGCCCCTCACTCCCTGAGGTGTGGTGGGAGTCATGGGGTGGGGGTTGGATACTGCAGGGTCTCCCTCACCTTCTCTTTTGTGACTTGCAGGGGGAGATCGGCCCACCTGGTCCCAGAGGGGAAGATGGCCCCGAAGGCCCTAAGGGTCGTGGAGGTCCGAATGGCGACCCTGGTCCTCTGGGACCCTCCGGGGAGAAGGTATGTGGCACAGGATGCTCGACCACTTCCTGGTGACAGACAGACCTTTCCTGATGGCCTTGGGAGTCCAGGCTGGTGATGGGTCAGGCTGAGGCGCCGTACGTGGGGCGCTGTGGTTCCTGTCCCATTTGCTTCACCCTCAGGCTCTTGTGCACCCTTCCCCGCAGGGAATTTGTTGACAGTCAGCCCCGTTCCTGCCCTGAGCTTGGTCCTTCTGAGCACTTTGCCAGTCCCCTGGAAGGGCTCCTGTCTGAGCCACAACCCCACATCGTCTTTCCCTGCACATACCCAGTTCTGACACCTGCCCTTCCTCCTGTCCCTCTCCCCCCCTCAGCCGGGCACAGGAATGGGCCCCGGAGCAGCCCACACGTCCTGCCCCGTCTTGCCCTAGGGCTAGAACTGTTTTGCCAAAGGGTGGAGCAGGATCTCACGGGTAGACAATTCTTTGATTGGGGCCTTTGCCTCCAGCCACTTTTGCTTCAGCGAGGGCTTAATCCCTCCTCACAGAGTCTTTGCTTTTCAATCAGGGCGGGGCGGGAGGTATGGGGAGACCCTCCTGGGACAGCCAGGGGCCCCCTGACCACAGTGCACTTCGGATCCGGAATCACCACGCCGGCCACGTAACGCTCCGCCTTTTTCTCCGCAGGGAAAACTCGGAGTCCCGGGGTTACCGGGTTACCCAGGAAGACAAGGGCCGAAGGTAACTTATGACGGGACGCTCCCCCGGCCCCCTCCCCGCCCTGTGCAGTGTCACCCGTTTGCCGTCTCAGGTGGCTTCTGTGACAAAACAGAACATCGTGTTCCCTATGCCTCTCCGTTCCGCCCTGAGCACGGCCTGTTGCATTAGTGTGGCCGCATCGGAAGGAGGTGCTGGGGCAATTAGTTGAGTCTTTTAGAGAAGGTGACAAACAGGCTGGGCCGGGGCCCCGCCTCTGCCCCGGGTTTCTCCACACCCAGGACTCCTGCTTGCAGCCAGGCCTGACTCCCGGGGGGTTTGAAGGCTATTTGCGCGGAACTGGGTGTAAAGAGACGGAAGGAACCTCGCTCACGCGAAGCCACGTTCTGCTTCAGTGGAACAGCTCCTTAGGCTTCAGAAATCCTTTAAAACGTTCTTTTCTTTGTAAATCTCACCTGTTCTTATTCATGATTCTTCCTTAAAAAATAACTAGCTGCCTGCGCCAGGGACACAGTTAACCTCAAAGGAGAGTCGTGTCTCGGGTTCGCACCTGCGATCCTGCCTCCTCGGGCGTCACTGGCGCTCAATCCTATTAACAGAGCGACGGCCGAGGCCTCGGGGTGTTTCTGTTCTGGCCAAGGAAATAGCCACCTCAGTCCTGTGGAAGCTCATGTCCACGCTCGGGGTGCAAGCCACCCCACTGTGCAGCGGGCAGTTAGCTGAGAAGCAGGATTTGTTTAGTGTCTGACAGTGGGACATTGGCACGCTGTGACGTGGCTGCCGCCAGTGTGGCGCTCACCGTGTACCAGATGAGGGGCTGATGGGCACGTTTTCTCTAGGGAGGAGAGGAGAGGAGAGGAGAGGAGAGGAGAGGAGAGGAGAGGAGAGGAGGAGAGGAGAGGAGAGATGTTTGGGAGAGATGGGTTATATGGCTCACGTCCAGGCAGCCTTTTGGAGGGTGAGGGTGGACCTTGGAAGTTGCTGGGGCAGTTTTGAACGCCCTTGGGCAGTGACAAGACGCAGCCGGCTCTCAAGCATGGTGACCCGGCCCCTGCCCTCCCAGGTTTCCTCGGGATGTCTCCTGTCTGATGTCAGGTGGGCATATGGGTGGGTTGGCCAAGCTCAGCCCCTGTGAGAAGGACAAAGCTTGGAAATTGGCACATGTACAGGTCAGGGTTTTAAGCCGTTTAGAGACCTCTGAAAACAGGAAGCACCTCCCGTGGGCCGGTGAGATGCCATAGACAGTGTCACCTAGCAGGTGCTTAGCTATCTGCTAAGTCGAAGTCCTTAGTTTCACCTCTGTCCACATGCAACGTGCAGAGCTCTGGAATTAAATAGCTGTTAGATGCTGCAGGCGGTGCATGAATTTGCATTCATTTCTGACTTCACAGCTGCAGGGCTTTATTTAGAGGTGTTCTGGCAGATAACAAAACATGGCAACAGGTGCAGTAGGCGAAGTGTCCTAAGTGTGAGATTCATACGTCATTTCCAGTTAATCTTAGTTGTATACATTCCTTTTTCTTCCAAAACACCAGCGTTTTGAAGACAAGGCGATGTGAGAGGAGGGTGTGGAGAGAGGGAGAAAGAGGAAACATAGTTAAGACTCAGTTTTGGCTTTTAGATTTAGAATTTTTGAGATGCTTAGGAAATATTTATGAAGTGGATAGTGGGTGGGTGGATGGCTGGGTGGGTGGATGGATGGATGGATGGATAAGTGGATAGATGGATGGTGGGTGGATTGGTAGATGGTGGGTGGGTGGATGATGTATGGGTGGTGGGTGGATGGGTGGGTGCTGAGTGGACAGATGGATGGTGGGTGGGTGGATGGTAGGTGGATGAATGGTGGGTGGATGGATGGATAGATGGATGGATGGAGGGTGGATGCACAAGTGGTGGATGGATGATGGATGAATGGATGGAAGATGGTTTGGTGGGTGATGAATGGATGATGGATGGATGGTGGGTGGATGGATGGTAGATGGTGGGTGGGATGGTGGATGGATGGATGGATGGATGGATGGTGGGTGGATGGTGGATGGATGGTGGGTGGGATGGTGGATGGATGGATGGATGGTGGGTGGGATGGTGGATGGATGGATGGATGGTGGGTGGGATGGTGGGTGGATGGATGGATGGATGGTGGGTGGGATGGTGGATGGATGGATGATGGATGGATGGATAGATGGTGGTTGGGTGGGTGGTTTGTGTTGGAGGCTGTGAACTAGAACACGCTCTTCCCTGACTGGCTCACGCAGTAGAGCTCGTCCTCTGGCCCAGCCCTCATGCTTCTTCCTTAATTTCCTCTCTTTCAGGGCTCTATTGGATTTCCTGGCTTTCCCGGCGCCAACGGAGAGAAGGGTGGCAGGGTAAGGACAGCCTGGCCCCGGTTGGGTGGCTTGTTTTGCTGCCCTGAGATTTAGCGGATTTATTCTCTAGGAGACTTAGCAGGTGGCCTTGGGCACAGAGCTCCTTCTCGGGCTGCATGGTCAGAAACCAGGACAAAATTCTGGAAAATGACTCGAGGAGTGGTGGGGAGACGGGGACCTGTTCAGTCCGTTACTTCCACGTGCCTTGGGGAAGCTGCACTGACAGTGTTTACGTCGTTGCTTCAGAAAAACCAAAACGCGGCGCTTCTATTTTCTGTTGTTTGGAAAATGTAAAACTACCACAAAGGGGCCTCGGTTCCATCAGGAGAGACGCAGACGCCCCCTGGATGCAGGATTTATGTATTAAATTGCGAGTGTGCTGGTCCGCAGAGCCTGTTGAAAATTTAATGGCTAATATTCTTAACTATAGCAAGAGTAAATTATGTATGAAGGCGTTGACGCTCTTCTCTTTTCTTGCAATAATGAGTCCCCACCCCTGGTGAGAGAGAGATGAAGGGGGAGGTTGGAGGGGGGCCGGGAGGTGCAGATGCTTCGAGGAAAGGAACCAGGTAACGGCGGTCAGCATCCATTAGACCGTGCGGAGAAAATTGAATTTCCGCAGCCTGTGTGGGAAACAAAGCTCTGTGTGCTGGAGGCGCAGCGCTCCCCCTCCCCTGAAAGCCTCCAGTTAAAACAAAGACGAGAAGGGGTCCTTCCTGGCTCCTGATACTGAGCTGTCGCTTCATAAACCGGAGAGGCCCCCACCCAGGTGGTTGCAGGCTAGTGACCGACCCATCTCTTTTTCTGATTCCAGGGCACACCTGGGAAGCCGGGACCACGGGGGCAACGTGGCCCAACGGTAACCACCCTTTGGGATGAGGGCCATTCCAGAAACGGGAGCCCGTGTGGGGAGCGGCCGGTGGACGGGAAGGCGGTCCGAGGAGGCTGGACGGTTTGAGCTGACCTTTCTTCTCTCCCATCTGTCCAGGGCCCACGGGGCGAGCGAGGCCCCCGGGGCATCACCGGGAAGCCTGGCCCCAAGGTATGTTTCCCGTTGCCTGTCTCCTGTGGTGGCAGCACAGACCCACTCCCAATGTGGCTACCAGGAGCGCCTGAGGGTCTTCAGGGCCTTCTTCATGTGAAATAAAAGAAAAAGTAGTTTTCTTGGGGGTATTTAGGAAGGAGCTGGTCACCTCCAACAGCCTTTGGACGAGTTAGATCAGACTGAATTGGGGGCTGTGGCAAAGCAGGGCTGGGATGGGCCGGCCTTGTGTTGGGGCCCTGGGGCCCTACGAGGTCAGGCCCAGCTGGGCTCTGGACAAGTGCCCCCCCACCCCCAGTTCTGGTGAGGAGGCCTCAGTTCTTTTCTTGAAAGAGGGTTTGAAAGCTGCAGAGAGATCTTTGCTAGAAATCTAAAGAAAGTTCTTTCTGCCGTGGGCGAGAGCCTGAGCCGCATTCGCCCCATCAAGGGGCGTGGACACCAACTCCTGCAGTTGTCAGTGTGGAAGTGACCTCAGCCAAGCGGGCCCCTCTGTCCTGTCCTGGATGTCGTCCCAAAGCACATTTCTGCCAAGGTGATGGGTCTCCCATTTGGCTGAGGTCCAGACCCGGTCTCCCCTCCACTACGAGACATATCCACCTGGAAGCTCTGGGTGCATTGCGTGGTCCCCGAGCATGCTCACATCACAGAACACCTGTCATCACATGCTAGGTGTGCCCTGCAATAGGTATCTGTGTCCTGTCTTCTTGGTTGGAGCACAGGCTTTGTCCAACAGGAGACTGTCCCCCTGGGAATGTCACAGTCCTGTTGACAGCAGCTCATTGTCAGTTGTGTGTATAGAGAGAGGACAGGTGACCTTGGGGAGCCGTGGACCAGTGCCTAAAGTTCTCTGCTCTGTACCGATAATGGGGGACCGAGAGCAGGGCACAGGGGTGGTATGTGGCCAGCTGTCTCCCATCAGAAATAGTAATAGTAATAATAATAATAATAATATCAATAAGCTTTTCTTGCTTTCTCCCTCCCTCTAGGGCAACTCTGGAGGTGATGGCCCGGCCGGCCCTCCAGGGGAACGGGTAAGCACCCACTGCCTTTCCTGCGGGGTGGGCTGGGGAGAGGGACCCTACTGACAGGGAGGGTCTTCCCAAAGTCTAGAGGGGGAGGGGGAGCCTGTGCCGGAGTCAGGTCGGTTCTTGGCCACCCGTCCACTTGGCCCTGACCCTGAGAAGGGGGTTGGCTGGGACCTTGGGAACCTAGGCCCTCAGCCCTGTGCTGCCCCAGGGCCCTTGCCCTGTGGCCCAGCCCCCCGGCCCCCAGCCCGTGGCCTCGACCTTCTCTTCAGCTCTGGGGAGGGAGGAGGCTGGAGTCAGCGGGGCGGATCTGGGGAGAGTGAGGAACGGCCTGGGCGCAGGGAACTCGGGAAGACTCGGTGGGAGCTGCTGGCCCCACACGCTGGCAAGAGGCCGTCTGTCCTCAAACTGGCCATTCTCTGTCACCAGGGACCCAATGGACCCCAAGGACCCACGGGGTTTCCTGGACCCAAGGGCCCCCCTGTAAGTAACGGGTTTTCCTGATTTGGCAGCTGTGGCGTCGGGATTTTCTAGAGATGCTTGTCTTTCCTTAGGGGCCCCGCGCAGCCTCCCCACGGCGGGTGGTGGGTCAGTGGGAGGGGAGCGAGCCCCGGGCTGGGGTGCTTTGGGGCAGTCTATAGCTGCATCTGTCGCCTGATCATCCTGCACTGGGGGCAGCCACTTCGGGAAGCACGGACCCCTCTCTCCTTTGAATTGTCGAATTTTCTCGTTGGTTCTGTGTTAGGGCCCTAGGGCCGCTGTTACAAGTACCACAAACCCAGTCACTTGAAACACAGAAAGGTCCTCTCCCACAGTCCAGAGGCCATAAGTCCAAAATCCAGGTGTGGGCAGGGCTGGTTCCTTCTGAGGCTTGGGGGGGGGGCGGGGGAGACACTCTGTCCCACACCCCTGTCCCAGCTCTTGGTGCTGCTGGCAATCCTTGGCTTACAGACACGCCACCTTGATCTCTGCCTTTGCCTTCACATGGCCCCTCCTGTCACTCTGTGTCGTCAAATCTCTGTCTTTTTATAAGGACACCAGTCATTGGATAGGGCCCACCTTGACCCAGGATGACCTCATCTTGACTTGATGAGATAAGCAAAGACCCTATTCCCAATGAGGTCCCAGTGGTTAGGACTGCAAGTACCCTTTTGGGGTGGGCCCAGTTCCATTCACAGTAGGTACAATATATTTTGTCTAATACCACCCCCAGAAGGAAAAAACGTCTAATGAGGGAAATCTTTGCCTAACAGTTGCCCTAGAGGGCAGTGCTTAGGAAGGAGCTGACTTCTGGCCCAGATAGGCCTGGGGCCCCCCATGATGCCAGCACCTCCCTCTGGCTGGACCTCAGGGAGCTGATCACCGCTCTCTGCCTCAGTTTCTCTCCCTGGGAGATAAGGGTAACAGCAGCGTGACTCTCAGGTGGTTGTGAGGGTTCAAGGAGATGATGCAGATGCCAAGCTCCTACGCGGAACTTTGTCTCCACGACCTGTGGTGATTACCTTAGAAATGAAATGGCGATGTTGTTGCATGCGTCTCAGAACTGAATGAAACTTCCTTCCTTTGCTTCTTGCCCAGGGCCCTCCAGGCAAGGATGGGCTCCCAGGACATCCTGGACAGCGAGGCGAGACCGTGAGTATTGGTGGTGCTGGGTGTCGGCTTGGGAGAGGGTGGTCAGCCTCTGGAAGACCCCCAAGATCCATCTTACAGCTTGGGGTGAGGCCTGTCTGGGGATAGTCTGTGCAGGCCAGCAACACGTGACATCTCTGTACAGAAGGCAGGTGCCAGCTTCAAAGGTCACATGTAAAACTATCACGACACAAACAAAATGCCACCAACACACTGAGTTCCTGTGCGGCCAGCCTTTCTCCCGCGGGAATAACTTTGAGTGCAGCTCCTTGAACGATACGCTTTCTCGCTGGAAGCTGTGGAAGGCCCTCCATTCCAGACTCTGTTACTTGGTTATTTCACACTGAAACCCCAGGAGAAGGGGCGTGGGCCTGGCACCAACCCTGGCTGCAGCCAGCCAGGTCCTTCTGGCTGTGGCGTCAACAATGGGTGGGGTCTGGAGGGCTCCTTCGCCCGCCCCTGTTATAGTGAAGACAGGTGGCCCGTCGGGCTGGACTGTGGGCACCAGCCATGCTCCTGATCAGCGTCTTGGCCGTCAAGACTGACCGCCGACCTTGCCCTTGCCTTTAGCAGTGCCCATTGCAGGCTTGGGCATCTGGATGTAAAGGACACTAACATTTCTAGTTGTAAGAAAAACGTAATTTCCTGCCCCAGGAGCCATTTGGGATTTGGTCCAGCTTCACTATGTGTCCATCGTAGACATGTCTCAGCAATGGGTGTGGGCACACCTGTGACCTTGAGGCTCTAGGCTCAGACCTTTCAGGACTCACAGGGCCTGACGGGCTCCTTGTCGCCGCCCTGGTGGTGGCTGATGGAAAGGCTCTCGTCTCTGCAGCCACTTTCTCTGGATCAAAACTCCCTGAAGGGCTCCCAGCACAAGCAGCCCCTCCTGGAGGGAGGTTTGATGCCGTGTTTAATACATTCCTTGGTGCCAGCTTAAAAAAATCCCGTCTCTCTAGTTCGCTGTGATGGAACCTCATTTAATTATACCTTCCCTGTTCTCTGCCGTGCGACGCGTGGTGGCTGATAAATGGAGATTACTTTGCTCTTTTGTTTATAGAGAAAAATGCAAACATTTCGCATGAGCTGTGCATATTTTTCTCGAATGCCATTCGGAGGAGACAGACGGGAGGTTTTGCATAAACGTGTGCTTTTCTCCCTCTGACTCGTTCCTGAAAGAGGCTGGCAGAATCACTTGTCTTTGCTGGGAGAGTCATCGGGGGCTTTCTGGCTGCCTCTCCCCGCTGGCTGCCCGCAGACGCAGGGCCACCCAGCTCCAGACCCACCTGGGATGGACATCTCCTCCACGGGGAGTCCAGACACACTGCCCAGGAAAGCTTCCTGGGTGCCGGCTCTGTTCTGCCTTTAAAAGTGGAAGCGGCCTAGGCCGTTCCTGCTCCTGAATTTGAGCCCAGGGATGAGTCCCGCCTGCAGCCACGAAAGCGTGGAGATCAGGAGCAGCCAGTGGCACTAACACGGCTGGCTGCGCCACCCTCGAGAACAAATGCAAAAACGGAGCGAGAGAAACGGGCCTCTCGAGCCAAGTCTGGGACATGTGGGAATGGGGACGGGGCTGGGGACAAGCCCTCCCGGGACCCGTGCAGGGGGGTGGTATGGTCCGCTGCGGCCGTCTCAGCGTGTGACTCTCTCTTCACAGGGTTTCCAAGGCAAGACTGGCCCCCCGGGTCCCCCAGGTGTGGTCGGCCCTCAGGTGAGATACAGCGTCCCTGGGTTCCACTGGTTGTCCTGTGTCACCTGCGCACACACACGCGTGAGGGTCACGGCTTAGGTGTCAGTTCCCCAGGATTCTGAAGGTGTGGATCCTGCTAATAGACATGCTAAAGTCTGGTGGTGCTTGTTTACATTCAGACATGTGCCCCGAGCAGGCAACCAGATGGCGGGAACAGAGGGAATGGTCCGGTGAACTGTCACTTTGAACCAGGCAGGTGGAATGAAGGCACTGCCAAGGCCTGCGGGCAGTTGGGACCAGGCTGGGCTGGGCTCAGAGTTTGGCTTCCATCCCATAGGCAGGGCCAGCTGTGCCCATGTCCTTGCTGTTGGTGTCCTCGGCAGCCTGATTCTGACCCTGGGTCCTGAGAGGAGGGGCTTGCAGCCAGGACTAATGGCTCAGAGCAAAAGGCAGGGCCAGTCACCCCGTTTCCTGGGACGTTCACCCCTAATGGAGCGAGAAGTCAGATCCTGATCTGCCGCAGCCGTGGGCTGCGGGAACCGTGGGCACGCGCCTCTCCCATGGCAGACGCGGTCGCCCTGGTCGTCTCGTTGCCCTGTGATGCCTGAGAAACACGGGGCCACAGCGTGGCACCAGGCAGCAGGCCACTGAACACATCCGCCCAGTTGGCTTTGGTCTTTTCCTTCCTGGATATTTACCTGAAGGGGAAGACTTGCAAAGCCACGCGAGGGTGTGGGCGTGCCGTGGGCCCTTTGCTCTGTGGCCACCGCTGTCCTTAGATTTAGGAACATAAGGTTCCTCCCTTGTGCATCCCCTGACATTTGTGGCTGACGCTGACCTTCCCCACAGGGTCCCACAGGAGAAACTGGTCCGATGGGCGAGCGTGGCCACCCTGGCCCCCCTGGGCCCCCCGGTGAACAGGGGCTCCCGGGACTTGCTGGGAAAGAAGGGACAAAGGTGAGTTACTCAGACCTTCTATGCCAGGCTGGACTTTTCCTAAGGGATCCTTTTGGTACTTAGTCTGTTTTCTGCTGCTCTTCTCTGATCAATGTAATTTCTCAGACAAAGGCTTCTCACGCCAGCCCACTGCCCAGACCAGAAGCTTAGCTCCACTTCTGCTTGATTGGAAAGAAGGCTGGCTGACCTCCTGCAGCCGTGGACATAAAGGGTCTGGGAATCAAACCGTCCTCGGCTTTCTGCCCTGAGGCTGTGTCTTGTCCCCGGCTCTTCCCCAGCTGTCATACCTGCTCCCAGAAACACAAAAAATGCTCTGACACTTCATATGTCTGTGTTTGCTACAAAGTGACCCTTTAAAAAATTCCCCACAGTTAGAGACAAAAGAACATACAATAAAAATAGAGGAGGGATGCATTTCTATCACAGCTCCCGGCATGGGCTCTGCGTCCCCTCTCTGTCCCTCGGGAAGCCTCTACCCCAGCCTGGGTGCCCGGGTTGGTGGTCATAATGCCTGTGGATTACCATAAAAATGAGTTGTCCTTCTCTTTTCAGTTTTTTGATAAGAGACACAGGAAATATAAGCTCTCCAACCTTTTATATGGCCACACGCAAGGGAGCAAACTTAAAAACAAGATAGAGCCAGTAAATACTGAAAAAATCACGCATACATATGTGTATGTATATGTATGTATATGTACTTGAATACACATGTATTTGAAAAATAGGGGTGTGTGTGCATAAAACATGTAAATAGGTGTTGTATACAAGTAGGTACAGATGCAGGTATAGATCCCCTCACAAGGAGACCTCTCTGAGTTTGGAAAGGAGGCCACAGACATGCTGGTCTGGAGACCCCTGTGCTCCCATGTTGGACCCCAGAGAAAATTCTGGTAGAGAGCAGAGCTTTAATGTACCTCCCAGCAGACGTTGGCTCAAGTGGTACATCTTTTCAGAAATGCGGTTTTGGGCTTGAAACAAGAGTCTTCAGTGATGTGTGCATTTAGGGCAATGCTCCCAACCTTTTGGCTGTGGATTCCTCTTTCAAGGACCCCAAATCCATGGGAAGGCAGACACGGGTGGAGCAGCTGCCTGACCCTCAGCCCAGTTCAGCCCATATGGTCCCAAAGGCCATTAGGAGAGTCACGGGTAGAGTCTGTCCCCAGAACCACACACAGCAGCCTGACAACAGGCCTCCCAGGCACAAGCTTGGGTCATGCTCCAGGGCATGGAGCTGCCAACCATCGAGTCAAGTCAGGACTCAGATTCCTTTAAAGCCAAGCACCCAGGAAGGCCCATGCCTGCCCCAGCTCACATAGAACCTAGTCCAGGGCATTGCTCACCTACCTATGGCTCTGATTTCAGGGGGACCCAGGCCCCGCCGGCCTCCCTGGGAAAGACGGCCCTCCAGGATTACGCGGCTTCCCTGGGGACCGAGGGCTCCCTGGTCCAGTGGTGAGTAAGGGGCCAGGCAGGGGGTAGAATCAGACACTGCCCAACCCTGGGCACCTCTCCCCGCAATGCCCTTGACTACGATCTTGTTGCTTTGCAGGGAGCACTTGGACTGAAAGGCAGTGAGGGGCCCCCTGGCCCACCAGGCCCCGCGGTGAGTGGTGCTGGCCCCCCACAAGCCTTTAACCACCCTCTTACTGAGAACCTACCCTGCAAGGGAGACAGGGGCCCCACTGTGGGTCCTTGGAATGCCGTGGTGGAGGAGTGGACTTGGGAGGGATATGGGCAGCGTATCCTGAGCTGGCAGCCGGGATGGCAAAGCAGCAGTGGGCTACTGGGCAGTTTGGAGGGAGGGCTGAGTGGCCCCATTGCGCCTGTGAGGGGCGAAGAGCAGCTGACATGCTCAGTGAGGTCTGGGCTGGGAGCAGCCAGGAAGGGAGCAGGCACAGAGTTCCGTGGCCTCTAAGCATGACTCGGGGTTGGGCTCCCCACATGCCCAAGGCTGCCAGAGACAGAGGTGAACCCGCACAGGTGGGAGGTCCAGCCCCAGAGCTGTGGGTCAAGGTATGCTTGCCTGCTATCTATTAAACTAAATGTTCCCTCCAATTTTAAGATTCCAGCTGGGAGAGGACCCAGACCCTTTGCTGTGGTCTCAGGGGACTGGGGCCACGTGAGGCTACGCCCGCCCTCAATAGGCACACCCCCAGAACCCCGTTCTTGGCTGATGCTTTATAGAAACTTAACATCTGCTTCAATTCCCCCGCCTCCAAATGGGGCCCATCTGACAGCCCCATTTAGCTGCACGGATGTGGGGCCTCAGGAGCTTTCACCTAACCGAGTTATGGACCATTTGAGAGAGATGATGACCGGGAAGTCAGGTGGAAAGGAAAATGTCACCTTTCTTTCCAATAAAGGCAACAGTGGCCTCTCCATGCTGACCCTCTAAATTTAGGCCCAGTGCCCACCTGTCAGCAGTGCTCCAGGGGCAACACCCCCCATAAGACTTGGAGGAACAGGGTAGAATGAGCGCTGTGTCGGCAGGCAGGCCCCAAGCGTGGGGGAGGGCAGAGGGGCTGCTCCAGGAAGAGCTCGTTCCAGGCAAGCTCTTAAAGAGAAGTGTTCTCGATCACTCGGGGTGGGAGAAGCGCACATGTGCTTGGAATTACGAGAGAGGAGGGCATTACGGGCGGAAGCTGGAAACATGGAGCCTCAAATGCTGGATGAAATAGTTTGTGCTTGCAAAGGGCCCTAGAGAGCTACGGTGGGCTCTAGAGTGAGAGAGTGGGTGGTAGTATGAGTGGGCGGTGCTTTAGGAAATCATATCTGTGCAGTTTGAGAGCCTTGAAATGAACCTATTTCTTGCCCCACCCCAGGGATCTCCGGGAGAGAGAGGTCCGGCCGGTGCTGCTGGGCCCATCGGAATTCCAGGGAGACCTGGGCCCCAGGGACCTCCGGGGCCGGCTGGGGAGAAAGGAGCACCTGTAAGTACTACGTAGAGGTGCCGGGGCCTCCCAAGCCCAGCCCAGCCTCCACCCCGCCCCTCACTATGGGTATTTCCCTGGGGGTTTACAGGATAGGGGAGGAGGTCAAGTTTGAGGTCATCCTTCAGATAAGTGTGTATGTTTCAGGTGTCCACTGAGGTCCGGGGGTGGGTCCCCAAAGTTGGCCAGGTTCTTTCATGGAGTCTCCTGAGGGGTGCTGGAGGGGTGCTTGGGAGCATCCCAGGCAAGGATCAAGCTATCATAGCTGCACATCCGTGCCCCAGCATGTGCAGACGCAGGGAAGGGCTAAGGACAGTGTGTCCAAACGTGGCCTCAGCCTTCCTTTGGGTCCAGGCTCTGGGTGCCACATGTGGGTGGGCCACAGTCGCCTGCTGTGTGCACGGCCCCTCCCTGCTGTCTTTATATGAGAAAGGTGGACCTTTGGACAGGCTCCTCCTTGGTTGGACTGGGGGCAGGTATGTAGTAAAGGGGCGGGAGATGTGTAATGAGAAGATAGGGTTTTTTCTGGGTCTCAGTGAACCCCAAGAGTGTGGAGGCTTTGCGAGACCTCAAGGGGAGGGTCTTGATCTTGGTTTCCATGAAGGAGATGGAGGCCCCTTCTTGTGTAGACACCTCCTGGGCAGCCCACTGCCAGCCCCTCTCTCCTCTACCCCGCTCCCCCGATGACCCACAAATGCCCTCTCTTCCTTGACCTGCGGCTCACCCCCGTGTTTGGTTCTGCCACGCAATTTTGCACACTGCCACCTGCCCCATGTTCAGTCAGCTGTGGGGACAAATTTCAGCTCAGACTTCCCTCTCAGACTCAGAATGTCAGAAGGCGCTGAGCTCTGGGGGAACGGGCACAGGTCCGCGTAGCTGGTCTCCGACTGAGCGAGGACCCGCGTGTTGGTTGATTTGGTTAGAAAGGTGGAGGTTTCTTTGCACATTTTGCTCTGAGTGGCTCATGGGCAGAGAGAGGGCCCTGGTCGCCTCCCTGGGCAAGAACTCCCCCTGAAACCGTGGTGGGGACACCTGGGCCGTCGAGGATCCGTTCAGCATCTTGTTGTCATTTCTGGTGAGGCATCGAGACGTTGGTCCCTGGCGGGCCTGCAGAGCCCATAGAGGTCACACAAATGCCGTTGGAAATGGTTTGGTTCATTGTTTGAAGAGTAAATATTTGAGCGGAAACCTCTCGAGAACGGCGCTATCCACTGAAAGCTTGTCATTCCCAGAACAGCACCAGAGAGGAGGAAAGGTCGAGAAAAGGTCAGGTGTCTCCCAGGGCGGCCAGCCAAGCAGGGGTGGGCCCCGTGTCTCGGACTCAGTGGGGGGAGAATTGGCCAGTGGGCACTGAGCAGGAGGAGCAGGTGGGAAAGTCTCATGCGGGGAGGGCTGTGTCGCAGGGGCTGGTGGCCTTCAGACCCGACACTGAACGCGCACGACCTCTTCCGTGTCCCTGCCCCCCTGTTCTGTGCATCCATCCGCGCCCAGCTCAGGTGTGAGCATTCCAGCCGCTCAGCAGGACACGGTGACAGTAGAACTTAGTGAGGATCCTTACCCAGGGCACTGACCGGGAGAGAGTCAGGGTGATGAGGAAAGGAAGGCAGGGTGTGTGTGTGAATCGTAAGTGTGCATGAGTGTATGGCACACCCATGTGTGTGACGAGTGTGTGTGTGTTTGTCAGGGTGGATGTTTGCAAAGAATTGAGGGTAATGAAGTTGGCAGGGGCTGGAACTCTGCCCTCCTGGTCTCCAGGCTTAGATGGTGCCATACAGGGATCTGCTTGGCCAGGTTTGAATCCTGGCTCTACTGCTCACCACCTGTGCCTCAGTTTCCCCTCTGTAAAAGCAGCCCTTCCTAGGATGGGCATGGACGAAACGCACTGATGCACGGGAGTGTGTGGTGCAGGGCGGGTCTCAGAGTGTCTGACTGAAGTCCACTAGGACAGTGGACACGGTCACTGCCCAAGAACTGCCAGCGTCCTGCCCATGGGCCCCTCTCTGGGGGATGAGCTGGATGAGTTGCATTTGACCGTGGATTTTCTCTCCTCTTTAGGGTGAGAAAGGTCCACAAGGCCCCGCTGGCCGAGATGGTCTCCAGGGTCCTGTGGGGCTCCCCGGTCCGGCTGGCCCCGTGGGCCCCCCTGGAGAAGATGGAGATAAGGTAAGGACAACTGAGACGCTGTCCTGCCCTCGAGCGATGCCCTGAGCTGGCCAGTGCCGGAGGTTGGAGCCAGGCAATCGCCTTAAACAAGGGATGCGAACCATGAGGGCTCCGGGGCAGAGCCACCCTGTGCCCACCCTGCGAGCTCGTTTTGGCGGATGGTTTCGGAATCACGCATAAATGCTGATAAATGAGATCCGTTTTATTTATGAGACACCATATAATATTATAATTTATTAATGAGCTCACGGGAACTTGGAAACAGCTTCCCTCTCATGTTCTGTTCATGTGTTAGCGGCAGAGCGAGGGAGAAGCTCCTGCTCCCGCGTCCTTTCGGATTCTAAACCCAATTCATTGAGCTTTCACTCAGCGTCTATTTTAAGTGTCTTCACTAGAATTATCAGGGCTCTCTCTCATTAGGGCTGCGCTTTGTAATTCCGATGCTATTACTGTGGCAGCTGGTGTATGATACTTCGCTTAATGAAGACATTGGATTCAGCTGTTCAGTTTAACTTTCCATTTACCGTAACCCTCCGGTGGCATTTCCGACGTCGTCACCTGGCTGTAGACGATGCCGTGCTTCCAAGGGTGAAGCCAGCCCCCCCACAGGAACACGGGGAGACTGGGCTAGCTTCTCTGCAGGCGTAGTAATCGAGGTGTCGGTCGTGGTCAGACAGCCTGACAAGCAGAGTAAATATTATCATTGGGATTTTACCATGTTTTCAAATCCTTTCAAGTTCTGTAGAACATCAGATCGGGACCTCGGCCCTTCGAGCTCTTGTATTAAAAAGGAAATCAAATTAACATGGAAACGTTTCCTCCTAGGAGACCTGTAGAGAGGAGATTACCCTTAATCACCACGAAAAAACGAATTATGGGGCACAGATAAGGTCCGAATGGTTTGAGGGCTGACAGATCTTCCATATCTTCCCACAGGGAGAGATCGGGGAGCCGGGGCAGAAGGGGAGCAAGGGGGACAAAGGAGAACAGGTAAGGACCACGCAGGCGCTCGAGCAGGGCCACCGACGGCTGGGCGGCCATGGCACAGGGCCATGTGCTCGGCGTGACGGGTAGTCTGCCAACATTAGTAACTGTGATTAATGTAACCTTTAATATTTGAGAACAGATAGGACAGCTGATGGCGTTCATTCCTGTTAAGACCTCCTGCGTGTGTGTGTGCCTGTGTGTGACACGCCGCGTGCATGGGAACACACAACCGTGTGTGTGCACGTCCATCCATCCGGGAGTGGGTCACAGGCAGCCCTCGCAGGCTCTGGGGGATAAAGGAAATCAAGCACTTTCGCCCTTAAGGTTTCCAGGTCTGCAGATGGGGTCACCCCTCCGATGCCGGGGTGCGGAGCACCTCCCAGAGGCGCACCGTGGCCAAACACCTCTGCATTTCCCCCTTTTTCTGTTTTTAATCTGCTGGAAATTCTGGCATATCCTTGCACAAAGCCTGTCCCCTGGCTGTCAGCTCCTTCCTGTGGTCACAGAAAGCGTCCTGTCTGCTGTGCAATGGGACGCACAGAGGGACAGGAAGTCGCAGTGTCAGGCCCGGACATTGGAGCCAGGCCCCAGCTCAGCCACAGATGAGCTGCATGGTCTCTGGCCTCGTTTGTAAAATGGCCCTGGTGGCCCAGGTCATGGGTGTGTGGTAGGAGCTAAGATGGTGCACGGTGGCCTCTAGCAGGACTTTGGTGGTAGCCACCCTTTACCACTGGTGGGAACGTGCTCAGGGTTGCCCCAGTTCCAGAGCTGTAGGGTGGCCACATGTGGGGACTGAACTGACGACTCAGATGCCCGGCCCCTGCTCAGCCCAGCCCCTCTCCCTGGACCTCAGCCATGATTCGAAAAGCAACTGTGTCTGTCTTATCCCCGCAGGGTCCCCCTGGGCCTACGGGTCCTCAAGGTCCCATCGGACAGCCAGGCCCCTCCGTGAGTATCTGTGGTTAAGACATTCAGACAGTCCCGACCCCCTTGGGCTGGTGGGCACCAGGAACCCGTCCTCATCCCCGGCTCCATTATGTCCCTGCAGGGAGCTGATGGAGAGCCAGGGCCTCGGGGCCAGCAGGGCCTTTTTGGGCAGAAAGGTGATGAAGGCCCAAGAGGTTTTCCTGGGCCTCCTGGACCCGTGGGACTGCAGGTAACTAGAGTTTGTACGGTGGCTTCCCACATCAGGTGGTGCCTGCATCTTTGCTGTGCCCTTCCCTCCCCTTCCCTGCCCTTTCCTCCCATCCTCTCCCCTCTCCTCCCCTCCCTTCCTTTTCTTTCCCTCCTCTCTGTCTTTTTGAAAATGGGGAAACTAAGGCTGGGCTGCAGGGGCCTCCTGGGCTCCCCCATAAACTGGAATTGCTGCAAATTCCCACAATCCCAGATGTGCCCATGTTGACTTTAACCGGTGACATTGATTTCCATGGTCATAGTAGAATCACTGGAAACTACTGATAAATTGTAAGAAAAGAAAACCACAATGACCTCTAAACATACACCTGGGAATGCCAGCTGCACACACTGGGCACATTTCATGTGCATATGTGTTCACACACACACATGCGCACAGGTCATTTTATTTGACTTCTGCAGAATTGAACCCTGCCGTGTGTATGGGAGGTTTGGGCCCAGCTTTCCCACTTCATTGTACATCACGCTTTGTGTTGAATGTCATTAAATGTTCTTTGAACATGTCATGTACATGCATCTTTGGAATCATGATTTTTAGTCACTGCAGAGTGTCCCAGCATATGGTAATGACATAATGAATTCAAGCACTCCGCTGTCAGCTCATAGGTTTCTGTTTTATGGGAATTGCGATGAGCACCTTTGTCCATCCATCTTCGTGCATTTCCCCCATTATCTCCTCAGCCGATGCTGAGACCTGGCGTCTCAGGATGTCCTTGTATTAAGTGGCGCCCTTAGAAGAGCCTTCCCGAGGCTCCTGCGCCACTGCAGCGGGGTGCTGGGGGCCAAGGGGATGTGTGTGCTGGGTGGGGCCATGCGGCCCTGCTCAGCTCCCACCACTGCTGTTCTCAGGGTCTGCCGGGACCTCCGGGAGAGAAGGGTGAGACGGGAGACGTGGGCCAGATGGTAAGTACGGCCGGGACCTGGCCATGGCAGCCGCTTTCTATTTTGGTGACGTTTGCATTTCTCTCTGTTCAATGGCTCTCCTTCTCCTAGGGCCCCCCTGGTCCCCCCGGCCCCCGAGGACCCTCTGGAGCGCCAGGCGCTGACGGGCCACAAGGTCCCCCCGGTGGAATAGGCAATCCTGGTGCAGTGGGAGAGAAGGTGACTCATGCCCCTTAACTTTTATCGTTCTGATGTGCACACGTGTGAGAAGAACCCTGGGTGTGAGTGTCCATGCGCGCGTCCCTGGGTGTGCATCCCGCTGGGTCCATGGAGATGTACAGGCACCCCGCTGCGCTGTTCCTGCCCGACGCATTTTGAAGGTTAGGAGATCCAGAGAGTGGAACTGGGGGCTGTGGCCTCCTGCTAGGACAGCTGTGTGCAGAATTTGCAAACGATATGCCACGAGCAGCGGCCCGGCTGCCTTCTGCAGGATCCAGCCTGAGAGGGAGAAGCATCTGTCCTTTGAAGCTGGTCAGGCCGCCTTCCCGTGGCCCTGGGTCCTCACGCCGGCCCCGGGGGTGGCGATGAGCCCGGCAGGCCCGTGTGTGCGCACACGCGTGTGCACGCCTCTACGCACACTGTGCAGCGGCGTCACGGTGCTCAAGTCTGGCTCCATTGCGGCGTGCATGAGCTCGCACTACTTTTAAAACCTCAATCCTGGCTCCTCAGGCTAAACGGGAAGAGTGGTGCATCCACCCATTTGCATTCCCTGGACACCATTCCCAGAACTTTCTTTTAGACAGCAGCCATTAAGATGAGAGAAGTCTTCCATTTTCTACGACCACAAACCAGTGACCAGCTGCCTCTGTCAGACGCGTCTTTCTCTCAGTGCCCCCACCCCATAGGGTCCATGTCCGTGACCACTGGGTTGTTCACATGCCTCTCCCCACTCCCAGGAGCCGTCAGGACAGTGATCGCTTTCCCAAC